AGAAGGCATTTCAAGATCACAGTTTTGTTTAAAAAGCAACCACTTTGGCTCTGATACCAATTGTTGAGAGAAAAACTTTTGAGAAACACACTTGAACAAATGTTAGAAAAAATTATAGATTGCGGAATAAAGTTAATCTTAAAGGATCATAAAGCTTAACAATAAAAAGAAGTTAGAGCTTTTAGATAGTTAGTTGCAGAATATTTAAGTGCGGAAAAGTAAGGAAATATAAATGACAGCAAGTTATATATCAAGTAAACACCAAACTAATTCTTAACAAGATTTGTAATCAAACACAAGTTAGTATATGCGAGCAGTTTAAATTGAAGTAAGTCTTAGAGACTTAATCTAAATGAGAGTTAGATCTTAATATATTTGAGAGTAAGTTCAGTAAGATCTTAGAAAATGAGAAGATATGAAGAGAAAAATTCATATATGAAGAGAATAGAGAAGTGTTGTTGTGTATTCATTCATGAAGTGTAGTACTCTATTTATTGAGACTCGGGAAATTACATAGAAAATAAACAAAGACTATACATCTAACTTACAGTGACAATGAATGTTCACTGGATAATACAATGTAAATACATAATTCAAAAACACATTAACAACTATTTGTTGGGCATGGTGGAATTGTGGATGTTCTCTCTAAAAGAAGTTGTGGTGCTAAAAGGTGTTGTAGAAAAAAGTTGATTGTGGTCTAGAGAGCCATTGCGGTTGAGGAGATAGCTTCGGATGACTAAGTTTAATATGGCAACTTTCTTGATTCAACATATTATTTAACCCCATTATAAGTAGCTCGATATCTCTCACTCAACTATCTGCTCCACATAAAGATCTGTATTTACTGCCATTGTTCGAAATATCGGATTCCTACCAGTTGACAACCAGAGAATAATCCTTCAATCACTACCTGCGACTTCTAAAGAAAACTTCAACTATAGAAAAATGTCCTATCCACGTTGCAAGTCCTAACGCCATAAACCCTGGGATCCCCAATCCCATACCCCAACCCATCGGTCCCTGCTAGGTCCCGCCTCCATTGCTATAATCATAAGGGCCTCGGCCACGGGTTCCACCCAATCTATACCACCGAGCGGCCTTGCCTATGGATCCCACCTATCTAGGGCTACACAGGCCCAACTCCACCTCAAACCCCCAACAACCTACCATTCCTAATGTTGGGTTTTGAGCATTCTAACACTCCTATGGTGTACATGCAACCCTATAAACCTTGGATCTATGTTTTCTCTATTATACATGCAAATAAGAACTTTCCAAGGATTTAATCCTAACTAGCATATTATGAAGTTCTTATACTACAAAGTACTAGTTAGATGACATACCTTTTGATGTAGCTTGATGTCTTCAAGCTTAAGAGCTTAGCCCCAATAGTGTGGAAGCCTTAAGTGGAATCACAAATCACCAAAACACCTTGGAAGACTTTAGAGAATATGGATACTTGGTTCTCTCAAGTGAAATCGGCTAGCCCTTCTTAGTGTACCACACTAGTGTCTATTTCACCAACCAATGAACTCTTTATATAGTATGGAGACTAGGGTTAAACCCATGACCTTTTATTTCATATGATCCATCGGTTAAACACTCCATGGACTATCCACGGAAGCTTAGCCCAACCTAAATGAACTTGGCCCATTCCATATATATAAGAGTCCATATTTAATTAGTTCATTTTGATCACTTAATTAATTCTTAATCAATACTAATTAAATAATATGATTCCATATTAATATATTAGAACTTATAATATATTAATACTAATCATAAATATACTATTCTCAAAAGACTATCCATATAAATTATGTTGGTGAAGTGCAACCCAAATGGACCATGCCGGGTCGGGTCAAGTACATACCAAGTATAGTTATGGATTTAGACATTAATCAAATAGTCTCCCACTGGGATAAGTCTAAAACTATTATTGATTATGACTTCAAAACCTAACTGGCAATCGTAGCTCTTAAAGCTGTTGTCGAACTCTGATCTTGTCAACGAACTTGTCCATTAGATAAGGGATCACATATTCCTCCATTCTAGATATCATATGGACTGAGACATGGATTATAATCCTTCTCTCTGTCCATTTTTTGTTTCCCGATTTCCAATTCATGATGACTGACTGATTGAACAAATCAAATCAGTACTGGCTTGGCCAAGCACTCACATGTGTCATCATTAAATCATCGAGGGGCCACAGATATCGCTTTTATCCCGAAGGTAAAAGGAATGGATAAACATCGACTCATATGGCTTGTTTTGCTACTTGTTGAATCATACACAAAGGCACGTTTTATAACACCGAGTTACCGAATGCATTTTCATGCAATCAATGTACAACCAACTCATATTAACAACTCATATCTCTAGGTTTGAAGAATATAAGATATTATCGTCTCATGATTACTCGTGATAAAATCCATGAAGTGATTCCAATGAGCGTGGGTTGAATCCAATATTCAGAACTTATGAGCACTCATGAGTGTTGTAGCCCTTTGTCCAACACCTTAGACCTCTACAAGCCAACCCATGACAGTCTTGATTCATATCTACTTCCAACATATGACCGACTGTGGATGGTTTGAATAACTTACTAATTCCGGAAGAATAACCTAGTTTATTCAGGAAGTCAAAACATGCAAAATGAAACACAATAATAATTGAATCCAATATGGTATCAAAACCTATGAACATAAATAAAACACCTTTTATTTATCACCATATGATTACGCATTATTCATTGTATACTGTTTCAGCTATCAACTTTATTCTTGAATTTAAAACAATAGTTGTATCATGCTCCAAGCATGTACACTATGTTTTCTAAACACATGTCATGCCATACACCAAGTATACATACTATGTTTGTCTATGATCTTTACTTTGTGAACTAGATCAATGGAACATAACTCCAATGATCCTCTTTTCACAGTCCCAAATCCTTACTGCAAATGCAAGAATTCCAAATTCATGCGATTTACTGAAACCTGTTAGATTCTAAACTTATATGAATTGATCGTCTTGTAATGATTATGCACGAAGTCAGAAAGACTTGACAACAACCATTATAGAGCATACCAAGGAGATCAACTCCTTAGAAACATCCTTCTTGCTTTAAGTTTCCTAATCTTAAACAGATTGAAAAATTCTAACTTTGAAACATTTCCAGATTCCATCTTGACTGTCACTTGTGAACAAGAGCTACCTCCTTACAGATTATGTCAATATGGTCCTTCCAGAATTATCACTATACATCCAACTGTCCTTGAGCACCCAATCTTTGGTAAACCTTAGATTGTCCTCGACAATTGTTTAATCATTTTAGTCATATCCAGTTCTAAACCGTTTCCCTTCTTAATGCCCCGGGCATTTGGAAATTTTTAGAAAGGATGAATATAGCACATGTAATAGATCCTATATCTGAAGCATATATGGGACACGATTCATGATGTCTCACATAAAGACTAAACCAGTCTTTTGCTATAATATTTCCATTTCAATTTGCCAAGTTCTCATAATTCAGATTATGAAAAGGGATTCCGTAATCATAATCGAATTTTAGAACGCAAATGATGGACGTATATACAGAATTTCCTTATGTTGAGCCATTCCAACATGAAATTCATATATATTTCCTTGACTAAATAGGATTAAAACCTCAATCTAAGCTTTTAGATTTGAGATGAAGTATAATTTCCTCTCCCTTAATTATAGCAAAACAACTCTTTCCCAAATTAAACTTTTGTTTTCTATAATCACTACTAGAAAAACAGCCTTTTACGACGCTCATTGCACGTCGTAAAAGGCTCAGACGACGCGCAAATGCGCGTCAAGGAAGGCCTTGTCATAAAGAGAGACGACGCGCATTTACGACACGCATTTATGACGCGTAATTACGACGTGCATTTACGACACTCAATGCGTATCAAGGAAGGCCCTATCATAAAGGAAGACAACACGCATTCGCGTGTAGTAACCTTACGACGCGCGTGTTAATGACACGCAATGCGTATCAAGAAAGCCCTAGTCAAGAAAGGCCATGTCATAAATGAAGATGACACACATTTTTGCGTATCGTAAATTTAAATGTTTAAAAAAAATAATTTATATATTTATTAATTTTTAAATTAAATTTGCATTTAATTTCTCATAATAGAAATAAAATACCATATGCAAAAATACAATCCATTGCATAATATAAAATAAAATTTCATACTCAAAAAATAAAATAAATTGCACAAATTATAATGTCATACAAAGAATCATTCAAATGTTAAACAAAAATAATACATTGCTAACATGGGTTATACATTCCTGTAAAACTAAAAAGTAATCATACAACTCTGTTTCTTACTGGAAAGGAATGCCAAACATGATTACAAGTCTCCCTTAATCTTGATTACTCACCTGCTTAAGTAGAATGGTGTTGTTGAGGAGGTTACCTAGCAACAGAGAAAAACACAACACCTCTCCCACAATCACAACATCATTTACAGAAAAAGGTTTGTCAATTACTTTCATTAAGACTTTTATTCAATCAAAAAAATATTAAATAAAAGGGTGAAAAAAATAACTTACCTTTGATAAGTTGATCTCCCTTAGAGCAAACACAGCTAAAGCATTGAACAAGACCCTAGGACCTTAACGTGTGGTGTGGTTTACAATTTTTTAAAGCACCTTCCCATGTGACTCTTAATTATGAGATTATTCTCCTCCCAAAACCTTTCCTTTTGCTTCTTCTTCTAATCGATGTTGCATGCACAAAATTCGTATCTAACCCGCACCAATGGCGCGAGAAACTTCTACTAGTTATATATATATATATATATATATATATATATATATATATATATATATATATATATATATAAGATATAGTTTCGTAATATAAAAAAAGTTAGTTATGTGTACCTTACTAGAATGTAAAAAGAATACCTGCTCATTAAAAAAGTGTGTTGAAACAGAATTCAGTGAGTACGAGCTCAATTTATAATCTCTTTGCATAGCCTGCAGAAAATAAGATAATGAATCAAAACCTTATAGTTATCCCTACATATCAACTTACTTGTTCAATAACATGACCTGAAGTAAATCAAACTGAACTCTCCTTTCCAATGTAACTTCCTTACTTTCCCTTGTACCATACTGTCTGCAACACAAAACCAATATTAGAAAAATTCAGCATCATGAAGACCTTCCTTTATCTTAATATAAAAAAAGTTAGTTATGTTTACAGATATAACTAAGCATATGAATGGAGAAATGAACTAACCAAATATAAATGTATCTAGGCTTCTATTTGGCATGTACTCGTAAAGAAGAATCTGTTCTTCTCCCCTAATGCAATATCCTAATAGTCTAACAAGATTTCAATGTTGAAGTTTAGCAATAAGCATAACCTCATTTTTGAACTCTTGCAAACCTTGTCCAGAGAGGCTTGACAACCTCTTCACTGCAATTTCTTTGCCTCCAGAAAGCTTACCCTATAATAAAGCACTTGTAATTGGCTGTATTGCAACCTCTTGTGAAGAAAATTAAGTGAAAATAGGCCCAAAACCACCTTGCCCAAAACCAGCTCAAAGTATGTGAAAAAGTTGATTACTTTAGTAAAGCTTATAGTTAACAGGGTATCAGGCAGGGAGTTTAAGCTTATGGGTTAGTGTGTACCTCAAGGATAAGTTAATATAAAGTCTCAAGAAGAAGGATAAAAAGGTAAATGTTGTGAAGGGTATATTGGTCAGAATGCTTTGAAGAAGGCCTCAAGGTCTGTGACTATGTCTCAGGGACATAATCAAAAGGATTTGGATTCCTTTTAGTGGTAACTGTAAAAGTAAAAGAATAAGAATAAGCTCACTTAGGTGTAGACACATATATGAAATAGAAAGAGACAAGATCAGGTTTGTACACCTAGTAGGTCACCCTCACATTCTGCCCCCAGTAGTTTCATGTCCAAATAGAAGGAAAAGTTCATAAAAGTTACCGTGTTTCCATTTGTGTGAAGGTATGTAGGATATTGGAATATATATATATATATATATATATATATATATATATATATATATATATATATATATAGATATATATACACACACACACACACACACAGAGAGAGAGAGAGAGAGAGAGAGAGACTTACCCGGTCCTGATCCTTGATAAGCATAAGAAATGAAGAAATTTCAGGGTAGAGGACTGCATCGATCTTCTCTGGTCATTCAACTATTGAATACTTGACCGCAACAACAACCGTTGCCCTGGTGAATGCAGCAGGACTAGTTGTTCGCTCCTAAAAAATTTATATTAAAAACAACTACATTTTATTAATTAATTTAAAAAATATTAAAGGAGGTTAAAAATATATATGTATACCTTGAGGGGAGGAACTAGTTTTGAAGGCTTGATGAGGGAAATTTTTCATAACACTTTTGGTCCCTCAATCAACTAAATTTATGAAAATGACCATTTTACCCTTGTATACTTTATCACTTCTGTCTTTAATGGTCATGGTGTATAATTATACCCCAACAACAATCCATCTCTTTTCTCGAGAAACCCTAACAGATTCAACCAAATCCTATATAAATCAAACCAACCCAAAATCAAAGTTAAAGATCTAACACCAAATTTCAAAATCAAATCAAAATGTGCCTTTGTTTCGTCAAGTCTTAAGAGGCTACTAAATCTGAACCCAACAGCAAAACCTAAAACCAAAGCCATGCATTTTTAATTTTTCTAACTCCAAAAATAAAATAAAAAATAGAAAGCTAACTTGTTGCAGTTCCCTAGTTGAAAGCATTTCCAAGAGAAAAAGTTGTCAGCAGCACTCTCCTCAACTTTACAGAACTGCTAATCTGATATAGCCACGACCCAACATAATAAAAAATTAAGTAAACTTTAATCCAATTTTATAGTCACTGAATAACTGCATAATTAAAGTCACATGTAATTACAAAGAACTTGCCTGTTCTACTGATAAATAAACAATGTTTAGCTTATCCTTAAGTTCTGAAACCTAAATTTGCAAAAAGAACAGTAAAGTTAAAATATGGTAAATATAAGAAAGTAGGAAATGCAAAGAATAGTATCTCCTGACATGTGTACTAAACTGCAACTTATAAGAGTAAACTATGACTTTAGCTTCTGAACATGGAACTTTCATTAGCTCTAAGAAGATCTGTTACAAAAAAGCAGATATTAAATTTTTAAATTTTGGTCCCCAACTTCATTGACATACTAATGATATAAATCCAGAAGACGGGTATTATGTACCTGTTCACAATTTCCAGAAGTATCGGGTTCTCCTTCATAGCCCTAAGAATATATATAAAACATAAGTTATAGTATAAATAAAAGATGTGGGTATGTAATGTAATGTAGAAATGTAGAATGTAAATACACCTTAATTATTTCGTGTTTCCTTCTGCAGTAGCACCACTTCCATTTAGCAACAGGTATGTCTCTTGTTTATCCTCCTTCTTGAACTTGGCAATAACATAAGTCCCATCAGAAGTTCTCCGCAACATGGGTCAGAGTACGAATCTTCATATATCAATGCAAGTGAATCATCACGCCAGCTTATTCCTTTGCTGATATTGAAAAAAAAAATATGACTTTATGCCGAGGGAAAATAAAAAAGAAAAACTTACTCAAAGAGAAGATCAAGCATGTGAAAGATGTTTGGGTCTTCTTCACCTCCAGCAGCCTGTGTGTAAACTATGTCACGAGGAGAAACTTCTCCTTTGACATCACCTCCATCTTGTGTCTCCATCAGCAGCGTACCACAAATCAATCTATTTGGGAAATCTTCCACATGGGACAGTAAAAGAGAAGGGTCTATGAAACGAAGTAAGTAGATCAATCCCTTGTGCAGCTTTGATTTCTTTATGATGAATGTAAGCTCCCTGAATCAAACAACAAACAAACTCATAAAGACTCAACAAAACTAATGAATTTGAAAAACAATTGTCAAATTTAAAATGCCCAAAAAGGTTCAAACATATCCTCACCTTTACTCGGAGTTCCTTCATTAGGTGAGGAGTCAACAATGATCGGATTGTTGTATGAATTGACCCCTGCACATGCACATGCATTATATTTTAAACAAGAAAATAGCGTCATTCGTTCATATATTTATTAATTATAGTATACAAACAAAAAGTAACTCAAATGTAGCAACAAAGTGTTTGCACTTACCTGAAAGCCACAAACAACAATTTCATCTCCTTCATGAAGCACACCATTAACCAAAACCACATCAATGGTTGTTCCAAGGTCTTCTATCACTTTAACCTCCAATACCGCACACTACAAAGATTTTTCATTCCAATAATCAGTAATCAGAACTCTCATATATGGAATAAAGGTGGAATTTGAAAAAGGAGATATATATACACACACACGCACACACCTGAATATCACTATTGTATGTAAGTTTTTCAATCATTGTCTTCTGAGCCCATTGGACAAGTAGTAACAACATCTCAGGTATGCCTTCACCACTGTTTTGCCCCAAAAAGCAAAGATTTTGTTCAAAGTTCAAAACCCAATATTCAAATGGTGTGTGAACAGTAGGTCTCATAAAAAACTACCTGATAGCACTTGTGGGTACAATACTATAAGTTTCCCCTCTGTCTTTGTTCTTGCTGTACAATTCAGTATTCAATCCTTGCTCCTTGAATTCTGTAATTATCTAAAGTCACAAAGCACAAATCATGAGAAATCCAGCAAGAAAAGAAAATAGATGTCCGGTGTTGGCATCGATTATGTGAATTGCAGCACCCTGTTGGCCCTTATGTCACAACATGTCAACTTTTCCATCCTTACCCATCTTATTACGTCCATCTTTACATAGCCAAAAGATGAAAGAAATTATTATCTACACTCACTTAAGCATTTCATCAAACACCTCACGTGCACTTGATCATTTCACCTTAAATTAAAATCAAAACTGATAGAAATCCCACCAACAAGTAGATAACACAATCAGGTAAGTAAAGAGATGAATTTAGAAAAAATCATTCCTGGGAATAGATGTTGATATTGGAGTTTAAAAGAGAGTTGTACCTTGGAATGTTGAGCATAGATGAAAACAGATTGATATAGGAAGACGATAACATTTATTTGAAGTTGTCGATAATTCTTCCAGCCTTGATCACATGTCAATCGGAGTTGAGGGCTTTAAGAACTGGAATCGGACCATATTTTTTCTGACATTTGTGTGCATAATACTCGAAATTCAGAAACCCTAGATGTATAAACCATGCTTCGTGAACCCCATAGAATCGAACCTATCAGTTGTTGTGGAGAAAAGGGGGAGGGGGGGGGGGGGAGAACGAACTAGGGTTAGAATCGAACCTATCAGTTGTTGGTACCGATTTTAGGGTTTCACATAGAACAAGAAAGAGGTGGTGATGGAGAAGATGGTAGGGTGGCGATGGATGGTAGGAATGGTGGTGATGGTCGATTGTGTTGAGGTTGCAGGTGGTGAGATGTAGCTGTGACAACCATGGTGGTGGTATGGAGGTGAAATGTAGAGAGAGAGAGAGAGAGAGAGATGGTGGTGAGTCTGATGAGGTGAGCATTCCCGTGGAAGGAGGAGACGCAAGCGGGGTTTTTAATTTTTTGGATTTCATTCCCCCCAAAAAATGAAAACACGCGCTAATAAACTAAAATTATAAAGCGACAGGGTAACACGGTGCGCTTTTTAGGATAGGTGCCCTCCGTGTTTTTAATTTTTTTTGTTGGACACTAATTTTAAGGCGCTCAAAAATGCGTGCCCTCCATCCTTCAAATTTTCTAGAGCTGACATTATTTTTTAGGGCACGCACAAATGCGCATCCTCTATTAGCGAGCGTCATTGTTTGCGCGTCATTAAAGGGCAGTTTTCTAGTAGTGAATTAACATTGCTAACTTGCAACTTTTATCATAATTATCATGCTCCCATTAACATGATGATTATTAGCATAACACTTATGCACCCACTAGCTTTGACATGTACTCAAAAATCAGCTGGACTTCTAGAAATCAATACTTTATTGACTTTCTTACCAAAGTTCATATTTTTGATACTAGATTGTTTTGATAAAACTTTATCAAAATCATACACCTCTCTTAGATAGCTCACATGTGTGTCTAAACAATCTTAGAACTATGAAAAGGGATGCCGTAATCATAGTCTCAATTGTTTAGATCTTTGCCACTTCTCACAAGTCCATGGTAGTGTGTCGGTAAACCACACACGCTCCACTAACGACTTTGAGAATGCAAATATTGTTAGATAAGGTGTCTAAGTCCATAACTTATTTGGTATATACTTGACCCGACCGGCATGGTCCATTTGGGTTGCATCTCATCCAAACTATTATGGATAATTTTATGAGAGTTATACACATATGTTTATTAATATATTATGAGTTATAATATATTAATATGAAGTTACGTTATTTAATTAGTTTTAGTCTTAAATTAATTATGAATTAATTTAGAGATTAAAAGGAAGACTAATTAAATTATGGGCTATTTGTTTTATATAGTGTGGGCTAATACTCATTTGTTAATGGGCTAGGCTTATGTGGAAGTCCATGGATGATCCATGGAGCTTTTAACCCATGGATCCTTGGAAAAGGAAAAGACATGGGTTATTAGGGTTTCACCCTAACCATGCACACTATATAAGCATGCTTATGGAGCATGAAATGGAGCCTAAGAGAAAACTAGTGAACTAGTGTGTGTGTGTGCATGTGTGTGGCCGATTTTATACAAGGTGTATACTCTCTCAAAGTTTTCCAAGAGTTTGTGGTGTTTGTGATTCCATTTGAGGCATTCACACTATTGGTGCTTGGCCCTCAAACTCCTTAGAACCAAACTCACCAAAAGGTATGTAATCTCTTCTAACTCTTTTATGTTGAAATGTTCCCCATGCCATGTTAGATAGGTTATAAACCTTGGAAAATTATTATTTTGCATGTATTTAGACAAACATAGATCCAAGGTTTATTAGGGTTGCATGCACACTTAGGAAGTGTTAGATTGCTCAAAACCCAACAGTGGTATCAGAGCCTAGGCTTGCTTGTTTGATACTTGATGCAAAATAGTGAAAAAAGTCGAAATCGTTGCTGTCAGCATGGTGGACTCGCCGAGTCCATTGGGGGACTCGACGAGTCCAAGGCAAACTTCAACCTACTCGCGAGTAAGTTCATGCACTCGACGAGTAGGATCGAAAGAGTGCAGATTCTCGACTTTTGCTGCTGGAAATGGACTAGAAACATTACCCTAAACTGTTTTGGTGTTATAAAACTTATTTTAGTTGGTGTAATGGTTGTTCTAATCCATTTGCAATAGCATATATCAAAATTCCATGATTTTATGTGTTCATATAATTCTTGAATTTTTGATGATCATGTTCATGTTCTTATGAATTTAGAAAATGATAGGAATTATTTGCTGAATTGTTTAGGATTAATTCTTTATCATTTATGTGTTTTAATGGAGTCCATAATTTGTCCTCAAGTTATGGATTACCAAAGGTCACTTTCATTTAACACACACTTAAAACACATAAGTTACATGAAAATGAAGAGTCTTCATTTTTATGAACCTTTAATTCATAAGTTATGAAATGAAGAGTTTTGCAAAGTTACAAAACTTGCCCTCAAGTTTTGGAATTTGTAAAGTTTCACACACTTTAATAAACTTTAATTCCAACCTTAGAGTTTTAATAGTTAAAATTCAACCCTTATACTATTTATAACATTAATGGTTAATTATTATATATATGTATAAGAATAAGTCGTTTTACCGTTAGTAGGCCTCATTCACGAAGCCGGTCTATAAGGTGGGTATAAGGTTGTTGCCTATAAAATGGCGACTTAATGGGTGTATACTCTCACCCACCGCTTGCTTGATCGGTGGAGGGTCGTTAGCCGAACGGGTAGAACAATGACTTTAAATCCTCATTAAAAGTATAATGAATATTATAAAATAACTAAACTCTTTTAATTCCCAATCTTAGTTATTTTAGGAAAAATGTGAACATGGTGCTAGTCCATGGAATTCACACTTTGTACCTTACCAAGTCGTTGGTGGAGCGTGTGTGGTTAACCGGCACACTAACTAGGACTAGTAAGGATCACGAAGGGTGACTTAATGTTTGTCATAGATCAATGGAGCGTGTGTGGTTAACCGGCACATTGATTAGGTGATAATATTAAGAGTACCAAGTGAATTAGCATGGTTATTCACACCTTGTTTTGTGATCCTCGGCATCCCAGTCACAAAACTTGAAGGGCACAATCGAGATTGAAACATGCCATTGAAAAGTTCAATGAATCTCAAAAGAATCTAGGAATTTCAAATCCAATTAAACCTAATAAATCATTTCGTTTTCATGGTGGAAATTGGTGAATCGTCATTCACCTACCTTTCAAATATATTATTACTTAGATTACGGCATCCCTCTTCTAAGTGTAATATATTGTGATTGGATCCTAGCCTTAATATTACATTTGGGTGTCTTATTAAGGATCCTAAATATCTAATCTAAACTTACTCTTCTTTCAGATGTCTTCCAACACTAATGCTTCAGGCTCTAACCCAACTGGTTCTTTCTCTCTCATGAATCTTTGTGGGAGGGTCATCTTTGATGGTTCCAACTTCATGGATTGGATTAGGAACATCAGGATGGTTACTCGTTACGAGGACAAGGAATATGTCCTCGATAAGGAGTTAAAAGAACTTGATGAGTCTACTGCTACTCCTGAGGAGATCGCT